GCAACAGCGACAATCGGTTGCCTGACATTAATGTGAACGTCTTGTAGTCGCTTCGTGAACACGAACGCTTCAATCGATCCACTACCGGATGTTGTGACCATGTTCATAATTGCATCTACTCGCATGCATGAGGACTTGTGTGGATGCGAAGTTCTGCAAGCTGCTCCATGCTGCATAACATATGCAGCATCATAACCGGCGGCGATGTGTAGTGTGTATATAACCGCATCCACTTGCAATGATCGAGGACCAAGATACATCCAACTGAAATGCAATCTGAGAGCTACACGTAATTCGGTTCAGTGATGACGATCATCAGCCTCCAGTGCCTGGTCAGTTAGCATTATGCAGCTGTGCCGTCAGCTATACGATTAGTGCACTGAGCCATGTACGTCCCAATATATAGAGAGGCTGCTTTGGAAAGCACGGGTTAATTGGACGGTTGTCCATCCCCGATAAGAGAATTGCCGACCTCTTTCAGGAACGTCGTGCCTAGACTCATCTGCTCAGCCAATTTGCAAATGGCATGCCCGTCCGCAGCACTAGTGCGGCACGTCTAGTTCTGAGTACGCACGTTTTCTTCGCTTGTGCCATTGGTTCTGGTTTTTTGACCACCGCTGCATAAAAGTTGATCGATGGCAAGGGCCTATGCAACTTGATTTGAAGCTCCTTTTGAAGCCTGCATGTGAGCTTTCTTAAATAACAAAGACTTGCACAATTGCAGAAACATTTGGCAGGAAGCTGTCACTTTAGAACGTCAAACCCCAGCGACAACAGCGGCGGCCGCGCTGTCACCGTCGATTCAGCGCGGCCGCAGGCCCGACAAAGCGCTCAGTGCGCGACCGAGTCAAATTTCGGGTCGCGCAGCCGACGCGGCCTGGCAAACATGAAAATCACAAGTTGTTTTTCTGCGCGGTGCCGACTCTGCTCGGCGTCGCGCCGAACCCGCAAACCCGGCTTAGTCAGCGTTGCAAGATCACCAGTATTCCGAGAGCGCCGACGAAGTGTATGCCTTGAACAAAATCCGAGGATCCTTTCTACAAACGCAAGAGCCAAGATCAATACATCCTGAAGTCGTTTTGCCAGCATGGGGGATGACACCGACGAGGGTTGCAGGGTCTTTGTTGGGGGCCTCTCATGGAAGACCTCTAGCAAGGGCCTTCAGGATGCTTTCGCCACGTACGGAAGGGTCCTTGATGCTAAGGTGCACGGTCCTACCTACCATTACACCTCCTCAGCATTGAGCAATATTCCATTCTTGGCTAGCTGGGGATTTTCTGCTTCTCTACGATGTCTGGTTTGCGTCTGACCCGCGTGTGATCAGCGATAAGATCAACTATTGTGTCCACTTCCTTGATGGCAACCGATGGGAACGATGAACCTGAAAGGAGGCAGCTTATGGATGCATGATTCACAGTCCATCACGATTGAGTTTGACGACTATTGCAAGTGAAGACGATAGGTTTGATTGCTGGTAAAGAGGTAAATGTGTCCTGCTCACATCAGTAACTTTGGAGGATAGGGTGTTAGCCTGCGGCCACTATCTGAAGAAGAATACAGAGCAGGACCATGAAAGCGGAAACCTCATGTTTGCAGGTTGTCTGTGATCATCAGAGCGGCAGATCCAGGGGCTTTGGCTTCGTGACGTTCAGGGACAAGGGGTCTGTGCAAGCCGCGATCAAGCACTTGGATGCGCTGCAGCTGGATGGCCGGAGGGTTACTGTCAGAAGAGCGCGTCCCAGGGGGACAGAAAGGCAGGAGAACAATACGCGGCTGGAAGATGGAGGCAAGGGGGGACGCGGTGCTGAAAGGGGTTGCTGGTGAGCACCTGGGCCTTATGGTGTCTCAATCCAGAGAGGTTGGAGTACTTGTTTTGTTCTATCCGACAGCTTATAGCCCTGTTAGGCATGATTCAGGTTGCTCTTCTCAGGGTTTTGCGCAGGATGCTTGTTTGCTCGATTTCAGAGCCTCTTCTACTGCCGGCTCTCATGAGACTGGGCTCTTTCTATCTTGGGCAAGCTTATAAATGTATGTTGTTAAGATAAGCCTCAATGGAAGTTCTCTGCTTGTGCAGCCACAAGTGCGGCGCCCGGGGTCACTATGCTCATGGATGCCACTCGGGCGCTGGAGGTGGGGTGGGGGGGGCTAATAGAGGCGGTGGAGAATCTGGCGGTGGCAGTGGCTACGGAGGGCTTCGCAGGTGACAGGATTACACTTTGTGCGATGGAGCTTTTCAGTTTCTGGGAATTAGTAGGCCGGTGCAGATGCTGCTTGGAAGAATTCAGATGATAGTCGAGTTGCTAGGGTTTTGAAGCTGTTCCATGGTATGGTTGCAGGCACATGTGGCGTCTGTCCTAATCAGCATTGTTGGGTTGAGTATCGGCTCTGTCTCAGAGAGTGATCTTTCCTCTGGGGCCTTGCTCCTGCTTATGGAGTTCTGGTAAATGTTTGTCTTTGCATATTTCATGGCGTTAGAAGAGTAGAACTTGCTTTTACTGCTGGAGCATCCTTCTTGGTGACCTGTTTTGAAGCATTCCATGCCAATCCAACCTGGTCTCTTCACGCTTCCTTCGGAGGTTTTCAATTTGCTTTAGGTCCAATCCAGCGCTTCATATTGGTCCATCTGCTGGACAATAGCATGAAGGTGGGCTTGAGGTGATCCCGCAAGGTACGTCATGCTCAGCGTTGCGAACCCTTCCCGTTCCACTTGCAGCGCAGAGCAGTGTGAGGAGTACCACGCTGAACAGGAGGAGCGTTCGAGGGGCCCTCCCAGCTGGAGTGGCAAGAAGCGCGCAAGGGGCTACTCTAGCGAGGACGAGGCGGGGCAGGACAGAACGGGGCCATGTCGTGGCGGAGCGAAAGAGCGCGGGGGGGTAGCCACGCCAAGAAACTTCGAGTCGACGAGGGCCCCAAACCCCCTGGAGAGACGGCACCGGAAAGGATTGAGAGACGGCTGCCTTTCACGGGGAGGCCCAGAGGCGCGGAGGACGTGGGCGGCTGGCTGTTGCGCAAGTATGGGGCCACATTCAAGAAGGTGCACTCAAAGAAGCCGCTCGAGTCGCTTAGGGAACGGGGTCTTGACACTCGTGAAGGCATCATCGAGCACCTCCGGATTGTTGGCCGGAAGGACGCCTTCCTGTCGTGGCTGGCGTGGGTGGCGAAGATTTACAGCAATTGGAGGAGGCGAACACCTTGGGTGGACGATCGGGACTACACAAGGCTGACTGTTCACCTGCTCCTCTTGGGCTGCCCGGGGTCAGGTCAGTGCTGCTGCACAGCTGGTCTGTGGGGCGTGAGCTTCAGCTCCCATCAGTGGTGATGCTAGGCCCTGCTGCAGACCTCCGCAAGATGCAAACACAGTCCGATCCAATCAAAGTGAAGGGGATTACGTCTGCAGGCATCCTCTCTGTCGTTATCTCGAGGTGCCCTCCCCCTTTGAGCAAGCCGCTCTAGTTCTTTACCCCTCTTGTTTGCAGGCAAGACTACGTTCTTGTACCACAGCTTGCGCTGGCTGCAGGAGTGGCTTAGACCAGATACCCCAGAAGCGGAAGCGCACAGGCTGGACTATCTGGCGGGCGCGATCTACAGTGAGAGAGCAACGCGTCTAGAGAGCGGCCAGTTGAAGTTGGTGAAGGACTTGCTTGTTGCCCTGCACACAGCTGCTGGCAGCAACGGAGTTCACGCCTTTGGTGTCCTCAGGCAAGCTCGCATAGTCCCTCGTGGTTGTGCTTGCGCGTTGACTGAAGTCCATCGGTGGCGATCTGTTTTCTCGTTTTTCACAGCATCCTTCGCTCAGCTTCTGGCCCGTACCCGACATTTCGAAAAAGCGGCTTGATGTCTGAAAGGGGCACAGTCATTGTAAAGTCTTCCCGTCAGAAGGTTTGTGACGAACTTTTTCCTCTGCATCTGCAGGGTCGAGCAGACCAGCCTGACGGACACCGACGCCGAGAAGATGGTGCGCATCATAGGGCGCCACGCGCCAGCGCTGAGGCTGCTCTACTCACTGCTCAGCCCGCTCGATGGCCCCGCTGAGGATGAGTTCGAGGATGAGGAGGAGGAGCTCTTCAGCAGCTACTCGACCTTCTTAGGCGACTACTGCGGGAGCGCCCCCGATTATGTTCAGGAGTGCATCTCCATTGAGGCCGTCCTTGCCTTCGCTCGGAGAGGGCTTGGAGTCCCCCAAGAGCAGCTGCTTCTGGTGCTGCTCTTGATTGACGAGGGCAACACTGCCAGCGGTGTCTTCCCAGTAAGCTCCAAAATGCGCCTCTTGTTGCCTACTAGGAAGCTCGTGAAAAGGTCGTTCGCTCCTTCTCAAGGAAACCGCCTGGTTTGTTGGGACCTGACTTCTGTTCCTGCGAAGGGACGTGTCGAGACCCCTCCGTGTGGTTTGCGCCTTATGATTGACGGCCATCGCATGTCGCACTGCGTTGCGTTGGCCCCTCCACTCTGCTTCCGATGATTGCGCAGGAGTCTTCTGCACTTACTGCAAGTTGCACAGAGTTGCTAGAAGTTGGCCTGACGGCTAGGTGCTTCTCTCTATTTTGCAGCGGGAAAGCCCTTCCAAGACCAAGAAGCACCTAACGTGGTTGAAGGAGTTTCTGAGCGTGATCATCAGGACCAACAACGAGGCAAAGCGGGACCTGATCATCCCAACAACCGCCACCACGCGTCGGGCCTCGACCGATCTGGAGTGCACCGCTAGCGGCCATGCTCAGGCTGCGTACGTCCCGCTCAAGGCCCTCTCCGTGCCCGAGCGGAAACGACTGATCTGCGACATCGCCACCCGGGTGGCCAAAGCCCTTAAGCGGTCCCGTGTCGGAGTCAAAGACCTGTCGATCGCCTTGAACGACGCCCTAGACTTCGTTGGCGGGAATCCCAGCCTGATGAGCTGGCTGCTGGAAGAGCTCGGAGGCCCTTCTTGGCATGAAGGTGCGTACCTCATCCCCTGTCAAAAGCACAGAACCTCGCAAGTAGGACTGAGAGTTTTTGTCTCTTGACAAGCCATGATTTCCGGATTAAGCGGTGTCAGTTTTAATATGCACCAGAGGCGCTTCTATGAACAATGTCTTCTTGGTGAAACTGGTGGGGATTGTAAGCTTCTTCTGAGTGGTCCGTTTGTGCAAGCGCTTCCAGTACAGCCTCTTTGATGTATGGTGAGGTCAGACTCCCGCATCCCGTCAACATCTTTAAATGAACAGGCTATCAAGGATGGCGAAGTCGATTAATGCTTTCGTCACTGGCAGATTTGGAATCAGCAGTCGGGGCTTTCCCTTTTTTGGAAATGTTGGGATTCTTTTCGGAGGCTGAGAACTTCCCACTGTGCCACAGGTGTGCCTAGTATGATTGCGACCCCAACAATCAGCTTGTTCCGTGCAGATTTGGACCTGGTCGTAAAGAGCATGGACTACACTAAGTTGCTGGTGAAGCTGGGAAGGCTGAAGAAGGCAAAACGAGCGGCACGGAAAAGGAAAGGGGGAGCCGGAGAGGCGCCGCCGTTTACGGGCGCAATCAGACGGAAAAGCAAAACGGAAAGGAACTAGAGCGAGGCGTCCTCGGGGGCTTGCATCTGCACCTGCACGGGAGTGCGGATGTCAAGAAGATGTGGGCGGATCTGGTGCGGCACGCGGGGGGCCACGTGTGCCGGTCGCTGGAGCACGATTTGGCGCACGCGGTGCTGCTGGAACCGGGCGTTGATGCGCCCTCGGAGCTGAAAGGCGCGGCATGGCGGGCCAAGATCGCTATCAAGGTGAGGTGGTCACATAGTTGGTTCAGTCTAGAAATCATCTCGGTCGACGAGCTTCGCAATCGTTCCGGAACAGGGAGGCAGAGGTTGCTTTGTTTCGCTCTGGTCGAGCGGGTTACACCGACTCACTAGAATACAACGTCAAGTTTCTAAGTTTCGCCATGCATGTCTGACACGCGGAACCTGTTTCTTTAGGCTTGGTTTCGATGAGTTTGACAAGTGATACTTCTTTTGTTTGGTCCGCCGTTCATCGACCACTATTTTTCCTTGTTTCCACCTCCCACATGTATAGAGCATTGCGCAGATTAAGATGATGCTAAAGAAAAAGCCAGAGTTCGTTTGAATGCTTCAACTTTTCGTTCGAAGCCAGCCCATCCACATGGATCTCTTTATGAAACTCAGGAAAAGTGTATGCAGCCAAGTCAATGATAAGCTCCGACTAACAGAAAATACCGCAACGTGGAAAAGTGATGCTCCGCACCCTACAACCACCCTAACCCCGAGAACCAGGTCGGTATCATCTATTGTAATCACTTTTCTGTATCTTTGTTGACCAACATCTTTGTTTGCAGCCGTCCGTTGACGTTGTGCGAAGCACAAGCCGTTTGTGCGGCCCGCTTTTAAGGCGCATGGGTTTCAAGCCTCAGTTACCTTAACCACGTTTACAATGTGCTCTACTTGCTAACTTTTGCTGACGCTCGTTCCGTCCGCTCCGCAGACCCTGGATTGGGCCGTCGACGCTCTCCTGTCGGGCAGCCGCCCGACCGACTTTCCAAACCCGCCAAACCCCGACTAAACCCCCTCGCCGCCCCAAGCCGCAAAGGGCGACCAAGACAGCCCCAAGGATTCCCCAAAGAGGCGGAAATCCAGCCTTGGGTCCAGCGTCAAAGGCAAAGACCCGGAAAAGGCCGGCGAGCCAGATCGCGTGCCCCGGGAGGAAACTTTGCTGGAAGGGGGACCTGCCCGGGAGGGTCTGGGCCTGCGGGAGCCCCCCCCTCTGCCACCGCACGCTCTCGTGGCGCCCGGGGTTACGGACGCTCCTCCGGCGAAGCGGACGTACTTTTCGGCAGTGACGAGCGCCGGCGAGGGTCACCAGATTGGGGACGCGGCAGATATTCAAGCTGACGGAAGCGCGAGCGCGCGCGTCGTCCAGCTGATGTCACTCTGGGAGGCGTCCGGGATTGGCGGGGAGGGGTGTATGCGGGCCACGTGTCGGCTGCTCATGCGCCCCCGAGAGACTGACTTTCCGTTTTTTGGGGGGCGTGGTTTGGGGGCTAACCAAGGGTCAGCGGAAAGTGGTTTGCAGGAGGTGTATCTGTCCAGCGTGGTGCAAGAAATGGATGTGTCGGAGTTGAGGAAAAAGGTGCACGTGGCGAGGAGCACGGGAGGTGCTGGTCCGAGTGCTGGTTTCCTATGTAGATTCTTCTACGATGCGGAGCGGGAGATCTTGCAGAAACTCGAAGTTTAACGGAGAGATCGGCCACGAGAGACCGTTGTCGCCTCTGCGGGGGCAGCAAAAGAATCAAGCGCTGAGTCTTTGACGGAACAGAGGACTTAGCTGTGCCAGCGCCATCCTCCACAATCCTTGATCCGAACGTTTTGCCATCACGTTGAAGCCGCTCGGTATGATCGATTGCCGGATGTTGTGACTGTACGTACCATGTTCACCATTGGATTCACTTGCATGAATGCTTGAGGACTTACGCGAATGCGGAACGCTAATCTGCTTCATGGCGGCACGTACATACAGCTGCCAGCATCACGTACAACATTCTAAATCTACGCCTGCATGCATGTCACAATTTGATCGAAGATGCAGATCATCGAAGATGTAGATACACATAGCTACCTCATTAATGAGTGGCATGTCGAACTGTATAATATACACACAAGCATATAATGATAAGCACGAATTATGATCAAATTGCAGAATTTCAGTGCACGCGTACGCGCAGCAGCGCCATATGGCCGGACTGCCCGCACGTCACATATGCATGATCGAGTGTATACACTGAGCCTGACCGGCGGCCGCAATCTGCACGGCTTAGTCCCTTGACGGTCATGTCGGGGATTAAAACCTCCGGCCTGGCTGTGTCTGCATGAATGGAGCGAGCTGTCACTTGAAACATGCATACCGTCATCGATGCACATTGCACTCTGATGACTGAGGGACAGCGGCCCGACGCCGCTCAGTGTTCGAGCTGGACGGGTTGGCACCAGCGCATCCACATACGGAGCGCGATCAAGTCAGCCTCAGTAAGTGCCTTGATCAAAGTGTTCTCACGTGTCCAAGGTCCAAAATCGAACCATGCTTTGCTCAAAAGCCTTGCTTGCCTTGACCCTATGCCATGCACATGAGATCCCGCATCACGACCGAGCAATCTTATATCCACGGCACGTAGCCCGCACAAGGCCTACGAAGCAGGTGGCTGCACCTGCCAGCACACTTACCGTCAGAATCGAAAGAGCTACCCGGATTGACTAACAAACACTGGCCCCCTTTGTCAGTGCAACCGCACTTCAGAAAGTACATTACCTACTAGGTCCAGATAGAGAAACTGCGGCCCTGTCAGCTTCTGGAAGTCCAACACGTACTTCTCCTCTCGTAGCTTGTACAGCTGCAAAGAAAGTGACCAATTGTCAGGCTTCGTTGTGATAGCACGTCACCGCTAGAATCCAGAAAGGAGATCGCGTGTAGACGACGGCTCTCCTGAGTTCAATTAGATTGGGGGATGCAAAAAGCGCCACTCTTTCCAGGGAAACTCGAACTGCTTACGTCCGGTTAACGATGGATACCGAGCTAATGCAGTTTTCTCCACGCTATACCTGATTCTGGACGTCCTCATCGAAGTTGTTGCAACGACGGTGCTCCGTTGCTTCTGCACGTGCCTATATAGTCAATCTCCGGACCTCTGAATTGCTTACTCCAAGCGCCTCATACGAGCACCACTCGTATGTTGTTCTTAAATGTCCAACCCCCAACCAAACTCACCTGCTTCCGGGATTTGATCCCAGCCGGACCGTACATTGATCCTACGTAAAAGGGGGCATAGCAAGCGCGCTTGCAATGCGATCGGACGGCTCAGATCGTCGCGAAACAACACGGCCAGTGCCGTCCTCGAATTCAATTGATCAAGAGATCGACGCCGGTGATGCCGTTTGTCACAAAACCCCTACGCCCACCTTAAGTCCTTGATGCATCACAGCCGAAAATCCGAAACTCGGTTTCGGTGTTTTCCAGCCCGAAGTCAGACCAAAGGTGCAGGAACTAAAAATCCTGACTTTCATCCTCGCGTCACCCACCTGAATTTCGAACTTAATCAGGCGCGCCTCGGCGGCACCCTCCAGCCCATCCAGCAGCGTCGGCGGCTGGCCGTCCGCATGGGGAGGTGACGAACCCAGCAGCATGTGGGCGTCCCCGGACCCCCCCCCGTGCGCGGAGTGCTCCACGTAGGGCGCCGCCCAGCGGCACTTGACGTTGTACTGCGCCGACTTCTTCCAGTTGATGCCCAGCTCGCGCAGTGCTCGGAAGACCTCCGCCATGATGTCGGTCGGGTGCGCGCGAACCTGCAAGGGAAGAATCATAAATTTCGATCGGACAATTCGGAACATAGGTTGGTGTTTGTCGACTATCAGAAGGTCGGTGTCTCTTGCCCAATAGCAGAGTAGTAGCAGAGTGATTGCAGAGTAATAGCAGGGTAATAGCAAAAAATAGCAGAAAACTTTTAAGACCTCAATTCTCTGAGTTGGGTAGCAACAGACGAGAAACTGTAAACGGAACTGTTGTGCATCGTATGCCCGTGACAGCCACCCTTCCAACTAAGTAACCGTTTTCATAATCATTACTCATTAAATCGCCCCTGAAATAACTCGGTGATTACGGCAAACCTGAAAAATCTCACCTGCAGCCCCAGCGCCCACTTCCTGTCCGCGACCACCCGGTGCTGCATGACGGACGGCGACGGCAGCGTCCGGCGTCCAGGCCCGCCCAGCATGGACGCGTGGCCTCCAAAGTGCGCCCCCGGCCGCCCTACGGCCGTCGAGCTCATGGGGTCGGACGGGGAGGGAGCCGCCGACAGGGATTCCTAGAGGGGGGTTTGGCAAAGATTGGGGCCAGGTCAGAGGTTTTACGGAATTTGGGTTCTTGGGATTGGAGGCGTGGGTGGGGGAAACTTGCCGCACTTTCTGAAGCTGCCAGGCGTTCGCGGATTCCAAGAGAAGCCAGCACGGCTGAAGCCGAGAAGGATCTGCTCTACTCTCCTATGTAAGAAAGGTTGCCATTAAAAGCCGTTTCCTGGCTCGACACAAGATACAAGCGCTTCCCTCCATTTCCTTCGAGACGAGAGCACAAGGCTTCCTCGACCCTCGTCCTTAGCTTTGTAAAGGCGCCGATAGATTCTGATGTACTTCTCAAGGCTCAAGCCGCCCTCATTTGTCGTATACAGTGCTTAGAACAATTAAATATTAGGCGTAGTAAATTTGGAACGATCCCCAAAAATAGACAGAAGCAACGGAGCAAGCCGCTGGAGGGCCTGAACTCCGACGATGAATCAGCAACGCTTCCTCACCCGCGCTTCTAAGAACTCGGCACCCAAGTAGCCGCTCGAGATGCGCCGCCGATTGTCCACCATAAGGTAGTAGGCCACCGTCGCCTGAATTAGAAAGGGAAAAGATGTGAGTGGAGACAACGGAACAGAATGAGGGACACGAAGGCTCCCCCATTTCCACCATGAGACCACCATCAGGCAATCTGAGGCCTGAACTGCACCTCAACTAAGACGGAATATAGTAGCTCACGTATTCTACAAGTGCTGTCCCGGTGATCACGAAGAAAGTCTGACAAGCGGAACGGGTGGAATTCACTGGGGTCCACAGTCCCCAAACAATGAGTTGTACTTACAAAGCCCTCGAGCACAAACGAAAGCCCTTCGAAACAAACATCGAAGCGGAAGGAGAAGCGGGCAAGCGCAGAAGTGTTCAGGGGTAAGCGACCAGTTTCCACCAACACGAGAAAAGACAAACGCACCTTGTTGTGCTCCCTTCGCCTAAGGGATTCGATCGTGGTGGCCCGGTCGAAGCCCATTCGAACTACGGCCTCTAGGATCTCAGGATCAATCTGCACACACACACAGCTCACTCAGGCAGAGAGCATAGAGCCTCTACAAGCGCAATTGGCTGAGGTCAAATGCAAGCACTTCCCGGAGGCTTCTTGAGGAGCCGCTTTTTGACATGGGAATGCTGTTCTTCGTTTCCACGGAAAAGGCACAATTGCGACAGGAACGAATCCGTCCAGATCGGACAGGAACGAATCCTTTTTACATTGGCGCTCCCAACTCATTCGAACAAGTGGCAGCTGCACGGAACTTGGCTAAACAGCTATCGAAGCAATCCGTTACATCCTCCCACGAAAACGTACAATCGCGTAAAGCTCTGCTCTAACGAATCGCCAACGATAGCTCACCCTTTTGGCCTGCGCGGCTGTGTCCGGGGGGGGCACGGCGAGGTAACGCGGGAGGTGCGCCTGGAACCAGGGGTGCTGCCGGATCTCGGGGATCGTCACGCGCTTCATGGGGTCCACTAGCAGCATGCGCGGAATCAGGTCGCGGGCGCCGTGCGACAGGTGGCTCGGCAGCGTGTAAATACCCCCCTGAGAGTCAAAAAGCTCGGTTACTACCTTTGCGAAAGCCAAAGATAAGCAAGCAAGCATTTAATCGGGAGACTGAGCGGGGTCAGGTCGCGAGTGCCGTGTGACAGGTGGCTCGGCAGCGTGTAAATACCCCCCTGACATTGAAGAAGCTTAGTTATTCAATTGCGAAAGGGCCTGGTTACTGAGAAGGGGTCTCTGGAAAGCCGTTTTGCGAAACCTGACTCGGGATTGAGAGGCACCAGAGAAAGTAGGAGTCAGGTCGCACGCACTGTTTGACAGGTGCCTAGGCAGCATGTAAATACCCCCCTGGGAAAATGGAACGCAGGTGCGAGGCCTTGTGCAAGATCTCCGGCTTGCAGACATTGCCGCAAGGTCGGGTCTCGTGCATTGTAAAAGTTCGCTTGGCAGCGTGTTAATGATCAAGACCCAGAGACGCGCAGAGTAACCGAAGCGTGTGCTCACAGTCCACGAAGTAATCAAACCGCCAACGAACCTTTGGACCAACAACGGCTTACGAACCCACGGACCTACAAATACTCATATCCACGGGTGTTGGAAACCCCATTCGAAAAACAAGCAACCCCGACTTAATGGTTCGGGATGCTCTCGTCGTCGAACGGCAAGATCCCACAGAGCAGCATAACAGTGTCACGACGAGCCCACGAGTGAGACAGAGTAGCAGAGAGACCCACAAACATAACCCCACCTTGGTCTTCTTGAACAGGTTCGGGAAGTTCTCGTCATCAAAGAAGGCAAAGTTCGCAGAGCAACATAACAAGGATACGACCACGAGACCACGAAACAGACAGATTGATGACGAGACACAGAAACACAACCCCACCTTGATCTTCTTGAAGAGGTTCGGAATGTTCTCGTCGTCGAACGGCAGGCTCCCGCACAGCAGCGCGTATAAGATCACGCCGCAGCTCCACACGTCCACCTCCGGGCCCGCGTACAGCCGCCCCGAAATGACCTCGGGCGCCGCGTAATTGGGGCTCCCGCAGCTAGTTTTCAGAAAGTGGCCGTCGCGCATCACGTTGGAAAGGCCGAAGTCGGCGATCTTGACGTTGCACTTGGAGTCGAGGAGCAGGTTCTCGGGCTTCAGATCCCGGTGGACCACCATGTTGCGGTGGCAGTACTCGACGCCGCTGATGATCTAGAGGCAAAGAAAAGTGGCGGAAACAAGCGTAAGAAGGAAACTTGAAGATACGCAAACCACCGCAAGTTGGTGGTACTACTCGACGCCGCTAATTGTTTGGGGGGCAAGAAGAGAGGCGGGAAACGAACGTGAGAAGGCCTCCTGAAACTGCTCCAACCACCGCATTACGGTGGTAGTACTCGACGCCGCTGATGATCTGGAGTGACGAAAGGGTGGCGGAAAAAGCGTGAGAAGGCCTCCTGAAACTGCTCCAACATACCGCGTTACAGTGGCAATACTCGACGCCGCTAATGATTTCGGGGAGGAGAAGAGAGGAGGCCTCCCGGAAGAAACGCGAAACACCGTGCTGCAATGGCAGTACTCGACGCCGCTAATGATATGGGGAGGGAAGAAAGGAGAGGCGAAACGAACGTGAGGAGGCCTCCTGAAACTTCTCCAACCACCGCATTATGGTGGCAAACTCGACGCCGCTGATGATCTGGGGGGGGGAAGAGAGGAGAGGCGAAACGAGCGTGAGAAGGCCTCCCAAAAGAAACGCGAACCACCAAGTTGTGGTGCCACTACTCAACGCCATCGATGCTCTAGGGTAAGAGAAGAGTGGCGGGACCGAGCGTAAGAAGGCCTCCCGAAAGGTATGTGAAAGACCGTGATGCGGTGGTAGTGCTTGATGCCGTTGATGATTTAAAGGCAAAGAAAAGCGGCGGGAACAAGCGTAAGAAGGCCTCTCGAAAAATATGCGAACGACCATTTTGTGGTGGCAGTACTCGACGCCACTGATGATCTGGGAGGGGAAGAAAGGAGAGGCGGAACGAGCGCGAGAAGGCCTCCTGAAACTGCTCCAACCACCGCGTTACCGTGGTAGTACTCGACCCCGCTAACGGCTGGGGCGGGGAAAGAAAGGCGGGAAACAAACGTGAGGAGGCCTCCCGAAAGATATGTGAACCACCATGTTGCGGTGGCGGTACTCGACAAAGCTGATGACCTAGAGGCAAAGAAGGGTGGCGGGATCAAGCGTAAGAAGGCCTCCAGAAAGATACGTAAAGCACCATGTTCTGGCGGCAATACTTGACGCCACTGATGATCCGAGGGGGAGAAGGGTGGCAAGAAGGAGTGTGAGAAAGCTTTCGAAGAAACTCTATGTGGGACAGGTTTGCATTGATTTTTTTTGTGGGGCTTGGCTTAACGAGCGCACAAACGGGCGCAAGCTTCAAGCGCAAGCTTGTTGGGGTGGCGAGAATGAAAACTCGGAGGGAGATGGCACTAAGGACGGGCGGCGCTGTTGATCGATTCTTTCGGCTGATGCTGACAAACGGAGCTTGGGTCGAGAACATAACATGTTGGGAAGGTGGTCTTTACACTGCAGAAAGAGACCTGGAAGGACTTGGAGTCGCAAAAGGGCATTCTGTTCATGCTCAAGAGTTGCATGAACCTTTGGCTCTCAAATCATTGATAAACAAATGCTTTAAAGATGGTAGTGGTACATATCAGCAGCCGTCGTCTGAATCTCGCACTAATAAGAGAAGCAGGCAACAAGGCAAGAGCTCCTTGCAAGAGCTCCTTGCTTTGATCAGTATGCAAAAGCTGCTCAGCTGCTGGAAGAAATAGCGGGCACCGTTGTCAGATATCTGTGCAGAACAACCCAAGTTGAAGCCTGCAGAGACCCCTTCATGTTGGAAGGACTGAATACGAAAAGACTTCGGAGCCACGTAATGGAATGCGCTGAGAACGGCTTACCTGCTGGAAGAAGCGGCGCGCCTCGTCCTCAAGCAGGCGGCCCTTTTCTACAATGTAGTCAAAGAGCTCCCCTGACTTGACGTACTCCATGACGACATAGATGTCCTGCTGCGTCTCAATCACCTCGTACAGCCGGATGATGTGCGGGTGCATGAACAACCGCAGGATTTTGATCTCGCGCCGCACTGCAGGGGAAACAGCAACAGCACTGAGATTGTTCCTTAGAGAAGCCGCTACTTGCTCCAAATTCTTACGAAAGCGTTACAGATTCGGTCAGAAGCGGGTGCTGTTCGTGACATAGGTGGCCTCTCGTTTGCTTGACTCAGAGAGGGCATATGTCAGTACAATGGGACGCAAGGGAAAAGGAGCGGGCGGCCAGCTATATGCTGCAACTTCGTATACAATCTGTAGCGAGGATTTCGACGCTTCGAGTCAACGAAGAAAGCTAGAATGCAAAGAGCAAGAAGAGGTAGACCGAACGGGATGACAGGAATCCTTTTTGGATTGAATGGAGGGGCACTCAGTGGACGACCAACCGGAAGTGGAACTGGAAGTGGAGTTCAAACAGCGAAGAAAGGAATGGGCCGTATGTAGTTGCCAGAGCAGGTTGCGAGGCCAGTGTCTAGCAGACGAGACAGAATTCTGCAGCATGCTCAAATCACGCAGTCTTGACGAAAAAGCTTCTCTCAGAATTGATGTTTTCTGTGATAATGCTTCTTTGCTTGTATGCTGCTGCAAGGCATTCTTCAGAAGGTGGCCTTTTTCAGTGCCTGCGACAGCTCTCCGCACGTCAGAGGGCTGTCAGGTTCTTCGAGCTTGTCTCATGAGCTCCTTTTCATAGGACACCTGTGAGTGGTAGTCCAGACCCTTACAATAAGCTGCCAGCCCCAAAGTAAAGCTCCTTAAAAACCGCAAGCAGCGCCGCACCTTTCTCCTCCATGTCCATCGCCTTAATTTTCCGCCGGTTGAGAATCTTGATGGCCACCTTGTGCCCCGTCAGCACATGCTCCGCCACCTTCACCTTCCCGAAACTGCCAATTCCCAGGGTCTTGCCGAGCCGGTAGTTGGGCAAGATGTTCTCCAACCCTTGCCCCGCAGGGACGGCGGTGCCGGGGTTGCTCGCAGGGGCCGCCATGGCTTCAGCAGCGACCTTACAGACTGTTAAGCTTTGGAAACTTTTCCAAAGCAAGAACCTGACTCAAGCAAGGTCCGTTCTGTACTTGAGCAGGCTTGGTATAGCCTGTTGGGGAGTGTCACTTTACATGCTCCTCATGCAAGCCAATCTAGAGTGTTCACATTAAATGCGGCACATGCTGGGCCGCCCAAGCACCGGGAGAACGGGGGTCCTTCTAGAAAGCTGCAATTTTGCCGCAACACCGCGCCGGATGCTGCTCAATAAGGGTGCTTGCGCCGCATGGCCCTCTCAAAAGATTGTCCCAAAAGCACGGCCAGCCAGTCATCAGGAAACCTGGACACCACAGTAGCAGAATGCACGCCCGTTGCTTGAAAAAACCAGAAAGCTGCCTCTCCTATGTTCTTGCAAACCCGCTGGAGCTTCGCTTGCCTAAAAGCTCTGCCTCATGTATGTACCGTTATGTACATTCAGAAAAGGCTCCCAGGGCCATGGTGCAACTTCAATTTCAATTTTGACTTCAAGCGCATGCCATTCTCACCACCTTTCTCAATGTCATTGTCATTGTCCAGAGCAGGTGCCGCGAGCCAGTCTAGGGTTTCGTGCTCGCTTGCTGTGACAATGCCCCCCTGCTTCAAACCAGGCTTACCTTTATCCCAAAAAGACGGTGCGATAATCAAGACTTCGTCCATCGGACGATTCTCCATCCATCATATCCAAACTACATCCTTGAAGGGGGCTCAAATGAAGAGAGGGGTCCCGCAACATTCTGAGCTTGCTTGCAGAACATTCTCAGCTTGCTTGCAGAACAGCCCCATGCATGTGGCGTAGACTCGGACCTACCGGTACCTCTTGATCCTGATCCAAGTTCAATTTGTCATCATATTCTTGTCCTATGAGGCTCCTGCACAAGTGTGCCACGCTTGTGAGCTGCTGCACGCTCTATGCCGTTGCACGAATGGCGCTAAGAATAGCTTTGGCTGGCGCTCCGGAAGAGAATTTGCAACCTTTTATTCCAGTGGTGGAAGTTCTGCCGAAGCCCGTATAAGAGTGGATATCATCAATGCGGTCCACACTTTCCCAGACACTCCAAAATGTTTTGCATCATTGGGTGGAGTGACACAATTCCTTTCTAGTGGCATTGCTGACTAAAGCTGCAGAAAGACTTCTGGAAAGATAGACCTTGGGCGATCACGCTACTCGATACTTGCATTTCTGCGCAAGAAGTGCAGAGAGTAGAAAGTGGACTGTTTAAAGTCTATCTAATTCCAATTATGATATCCCACGGTCGCTGATCAAATCTGTAATCCCCCACAAAACCCTTCGCAGCTGTTCCATCCATAGGCTACGCATTGAGCACCTAACAAAGAATCCTTTAGAGGGTTTTTGGAAGTTAAGCAATGCTTATTTAGCTTAGCGGGTGCTGTTTGCATGATGCGGAAATAATTACTGGCATCTGAATGGAAGTGGCGGAGCCCGCCGGTGGCATTCCAGTGGGGTGGACTTCTGGGCCGGTAGGGGGCGTTGCTGTAGGCACCAAGAAGAAGAAAAAGCAACAGGACGGGGGGCGTGAGGAGGTGGGTGGCAATGAAGGAGCCTCCTTTGAGAAAACACTTTTATCAGGGGCCCTTCCTGTTGTGTAGAGCTGACCATTGCAGTTCTAAGAAAAGTAGTGAGCCTTCAGGGGTGACCATGGATCCCTTCGTGCTATGCTTGTTAGCGGAATCTGAAAGGAAGTGGTGCTTCCATGATTGCGGCAGTTCACCGGCTTGGAGTGCTGCGACGCTCCTTCCGGGCATTCGTAGATCATTTTTCTGATTGTTCAGCTTCTGGGCAGTCTACTATCCTCCTTCTGGCTTCCCAATCAAGTACCAGTGCCCATGGTTTGTCAACGGAAGGCCTTCAAAAGGGGGCTATCACTACCTTTGAAATTTTTATTTGGCTATCACAATAGACGCAGGCTGAGATCTAATTTGACGGAAAGTCAAGGTTCAGAAGCGTGCAAGTGCATGGCGCTGTCTGGTCGGGCTCGCCCTGCATAGACCAGACCGGTGAGCAACTGTACTCTTGGACCGATATCAGATGCCATGATAACCTCTTCGAAGTTAGCTTATTTCTGCCGCATGTTTTCCCAGGGCCACCACCTACCCCAGAAGCGCGTTAAGGACGTCGAACTGGTGGTGCCCATAGCTTATGGCACCATATCCTTCTGGCTGGGAAAGAGGGCGACGGAGACGAAGGCCTACCAGTGGGCCGTGTACGTTCGAGCTGCCAACAATGAGGACCTGTCTGCGGTGATCAAGAAAGTGGTGTTCAGCTTGCATCCCAGTTTCGAGAATCCAACGCGAGGTGAGGATTTTCCTTTCATGAATGTCCTTCTCGACAAGTAGAAGTGCATGAGTCAGCATTCATCAGCGTTTAAAGTACAAGCGTGGACTTTGTAGACATTAGTCACGTCTACTTTATTGCTTTCTGGTGCGGGAGAACAGAGCATTGGACTTGACTCTTCGGAACGTGAACTTGCAAGTGGTAGAAACGGGAATATTTCCCCCCTAACGGTCTCCTTGGCTCTGGATGACTGGCAATTGCTTCTTTCTACAAAATAGTGCGAGCTCGCCGTCCCCTTCCCCTTCTCAGTGCTTGCCAAAGCACTGTGATCCATGCGTCAACCCGAAGCAAGCCGTATGCCGTCTTCCTTGATCTTCCAGGGGTCACCCTTTTGCTGCGGTGCCTCGCCATCCGTTTCGTTCAAGCATTTGCCCCACCACATCTTTTGCAGCATGGCAGACCCCGGCCATTTGACCAGCTGTCTTTACTCCCAGAAGAGCTTTCTATTCGACACGTTGTCTGAAAAACATTTTCTGTGGCAGTCGTCGACAAGTCCCCGTTCGAGCTGTCGGAGTGCGGGTGGGGCGAGTTCGAAATCACGCTCACGATCCACTTTCACAGCGACGCAACCGACCGACCAGCGGAACTGACACACCATCTCAAGCTGTACCCGGAAGCGGAGGCGGCTCCCAATCCGAAGCGACCGGTAATTGCCGTAAAGTTTTGACCGCTCTTGCACGTTCATACAAGCGTCCAGAAGGCTTATGACCCTCTTCCCGCTGTCACGACCACTTCTGCAATTTGCGAAACGGGCGTTCACACCCATTGGCTCGCGATTCCATTCCGGAGGCGAACGTCCTGATTTGGTGTCTGGTTTGGATCCTGGCGGCCTTGCATTGGGCAAAACGTTGTTGGGCTATTAGGCAGCGGAAGGAAACTATGGACTCTGAGATCAGACTGAGCCTCTATGTGTCCATGCCAAAAGCCGTTGCAGCTGCTGACGTGGATCGTCTCCACCCATTGATTGAGCGCCACAGTCTATCGTGTTGGACGAGAAACGCTGCTTGCCGCCAGCCCGACCCGCCCACACGCTCGAGGCTAATTGCAACGGAAGAGTGTGGCGTTCCTTCTGGTTATAATGTTTTGAAGCAGGCTCGGAAAGTCGAAGGTACTGAGATACTTGACTAAGTTCGTACTCACCATTATGTTTCCACCTTCAGAGTCGATCCGAAACTTCTTTGCAGGTTGTTTCCGAGCACTACGACGAGGTTGTCTTCCCGGACCCGGGGGAGGCCTTCTTCGAGCGGGTCAAAGACAGCCCCGCCGTAACCGTCTCGGTAACCGGCGACGGCGCGCCCCCCTCCGCCATCGAAGCAGCCACGCGGCCGCAGATCGAGCGGGCGGGCACGCCTCCGGTTCCGGACGCTTGCCCAGCGGACGGAACTCTGGCCATGGTAGCGGGAAAGGGGGACGGCAGCACGCTGAACCATCCGCTCCGGCCTTTCTGTGAGGATACACTCTTTCTTGCACCTGGTTTGGATTCGTTCCGTTCGTATAATTGTTGACCGTTCATGCGAGTCGGAAGAGTGTGGGTTGTGTCCTTCGTTTTTGAGACGAGGGTTTGCTGCAAGTCCTTCAGACCGTTGAAGGGGGCGAAGGGGTTCGAGTCTTCTGAAGAAATGCTCGTATGCAAACCAACCAATCTGTAGACTGGCAACGGACTCCGGGTTCTCTGCACCTGGCGGGCCGAAAAGAAGACTGTTCATAAACCGCACGTATGTGCGTATGGTTTTCGAGTGTGGTTTTGAATCTTCCGCCTTTTCATGAGTTCCGTTTGCCTTAACCTGTCTTCGGTATGTTGGAGTTGAGGGCTTGCGCAGAAAGCAGTACAGCAGTAGTGAGTCCGACAACCTTGCTTATACGGAGACTGACTAAGGCCAGCGTCGCATGCTCTGCAGATCTGAAGCACTCAGATGCGAGCGAGCTTCGAAAGCTAGCCGAGGCAAAGGAGCAAGTCGCGGCTCGAATGGAAAAGTTGGAGAACGCTGTTGTCGCAGTCGAAGAGGAGATTGCTCAGCTGCGAAGCCAGCTGGTTGACGGTCCTGTGTCGGTGTAATAGTCTGCATCGAAGGAGGTTCTGTGGAGCCAGACGGTGTATGCTTCAGTCCAAAAGTCGGTAGCTCTTGAATTTCGAAAAGCACAACATTGAACTGCCATTGGGGGACGTCTACTTCTCATGGTCTGAGGCGATTCTCACCCAAGAGAGAGTCGCACATGAGCAGATCATGTTGGGCTCAGGAATATGCAGGACAACTCAGACGGTTGCAATCTGAGAAGTTCGACCTGCCATGATTTGGTCAGTGGATACAGAACACGAATGCAACTGGCACCCTCGTGCATTCGAGATGCATTTAGCAGTGAGAATGGCCGTGCGGGGCGCTCGTCATGTATTTTTACCGGATGCAGGACTGTTTACATTGTGCCTATCATGTCGGAAGATGACAAGGAAATGCGTACTTGTAGGTATACTAGCATGCCTCACTGCTTGGAGAATATATACGCGTACATGAGCTAGTACGTTGCATGTACCATCACTTACCTATACTTGATCGTATGACAAGAATTGCTCGGTAGTGCGTTCTATGCATCGGCATAACGAGCAATCCCCTCCACATCCCCTCTTGCAGCACAAACCAGCTGGAGGTTCGCGTATAGAGGGTATATAGAAGCATTGCGCACCAACTTTGAATACGGGAAAGATGCAGTTCACAGCACTTGCAATTCTGGCATCATTAAGTTAAGTTCAGCCCGTCGGGCAAACGAGCGCGGGCGGCCGGCGCGCCTGAGTAGGGACGTCTAAGGAATTCTGATCGAACGGTGCCCAGCACGATTGCGACATACCGTAACCAAGATGTAGGTACCTATCCTACCATGCTGCACGCCGCACGGTACGTACCGGAAAGCCCGGAATCTTAGGGACTCGTCTCTAGCCGGTGCTTACCGGATGCAAACGGTACCTTGAGGTACCTACCGCTGTGTCAGACATTCAAATTGAACGATTTAGATGCAGCTCTTGACATCCAACTTCATGTTTTCAACGGCTTCAGACCTTGAATCGGCGCATTGCTCAATGCTTGCGCGGTCCACGTCACACGAGTAAGCCGTACCGGTACGGAGCTTGATGTGCTGTACAGCTTGCATGCACAATTTGTCGAGTCGCAGCTTGCAAGCCGGACAGATGGCACCCTCCACGTGCGCAAGCCTGAGCAGAGCAAGCAGGAGAAGGGCTTTGGCATTTATGAGCAGGAGAGGCTTTGCATGGCCGCCGTTTCTGTGAGGGAGGAGGCAAAGTGTGGACCATGGTGCTCCAGGCTGGGCCGTTGCTCTGACAACTCTCACAGAAGGCCCGCGGCTCTAGCTGACCTTCTCTTCCAAGCTTTTGAAGCTCTGTGCTCCCCTCTCTTTGTGGAACCATGATGCAGGAAGAAGCTGAACAAGGACTTGCTGAAGCTTGCAAGCTGGATTGACCAGCTCCTGTGTCTGGTAAAGGTTGTAGCTTGTGGTGATCAAGAAAAGACCCCAGGATTACCTTCTGTAGATCCAAGGAAGCAAGGCATTTTCTGCGTAATGCAAGGAACGGGAGGTTTAGAGCGCAGGTCAATGTCTTGAGGACAGCTGCATTGTGGCTGCCTCAAGAGCCGGACCTTACCTCAGTGGAGGATAGCTCTGCCTCAGGCCATGCTCGCGAGTCTGCACGGGTCACCGCAGCAGTCTCAGGGATGGGATGCATTCCATCCCGGCACCCTTAACCTCTCCTTTCCCTATGGTCACATCGAGCCTCTGAAGCAATGGCAGCCAAAGGCTTACGCAAAAAGATTGGAGGATGTGAAGCCTGACAAGAAAAAGGGAGCCAGCAGAATGCAGGTCAAGCGCGAGGCACAGAAGGCCATGCTGGCCAGGTGCAAATCGAACAACTCTGCAGGCCAGTCCTTCGCAATGCTGCCGCCCCCTTACGCTCCCCTGGGGTTTGTCGGCAGTTCCACAGGGGACGGGGCCCAATGTGACTCCTTGAAGCGCAAGTATGATCAGGCTTTGCCAGCATTGGATGAGCAGCTCTCAAGCAAGCGCTCCCTAGTGGAGAGCGCGTGGCCAGTGGAGTTAGCAGGCTTCGCTGCGGGTCAGAGCGTGTGGCGGTTGCGGGGTGGAGGGCAGGCAGCGCAGGATGAGGCCTCAGAGGATCCCCCTGCAGAGGGGGGGACCCAGAATCAGGCGGAAGCTGAGGGGAGCCAGCAGGCAGGCCAGCGGGTAGACGCATTGATCTCTGAGGTTGCAAGTATGATGGAGAGTGCACAGAGGGGGGGACAAGCAAGTGAGGTTATGCTCCGCCTCAACAGGTTGGAAAGCATCCCCTCTCTCCCGCGGTTCAACAGTCTAGAGCTGGCAGACGAGATGTTTGCAGACATCCTCAAGTGGGATCTTCCCAAGGGAGAAGAGCGTACAGTGGAGGTGAAGGAGGGGGAGGTTGGGAGGACAAGGGGGGGCGGAGTGGAGAGCGACGATGCGCAGGTGGAGGAGTTTCTGAAGTCCCTGGACCCCGCTTTGGCAAACCGGGAGCCGGTCGCGATCCAGGATCAGTTGCAGAAGTCGGCTGCGGAGGGAAAAGATGGGGCCGAGGGGAAGCAGCGCGCGGGGGCGAGGCCTGTATCCGTGCGGGGGGGTGCGAAAGATTTAGGCGATGCTGGAGAGAACAAGTCGGAGGGTACAGCGTCGGAGCAGGCTTCGCAAGATCAGGCTGCAGCGGGGGAAGGGTTGAAACACTCTGGCAGCGGCGAAGCCGCTCAGCCATCAAAGCTGCAGAGCGCAGAGGCAGTCCCTGGGAAGCAGTCCGGTGGAAAGCCCGAGGTGCAGCCCAAGCAGGGCCCTGCCATCTCACAAAAGCCGATGGTGCGGTCCCCAAGGGCGGGAGAGGAGAAACCTAGGCAGCTAGTGCGTCCCAGTCTGGACATCCTTGCGCAGGCGTCCGCCAGTTTCGGTCCCACGAGCCCTGTAGCCAGCAAGGACAGCCTGGAGTCCCCAGAGTCACCGATCCTGAGCAGCCTGGGGGGGGGGCCGCGGCGCCCCAAGCTCACCCCCCCGCAGCAGGAGAAGTTGCGGGGGTTTGCAGCCAAGGTGCACTGGAATTGGGGGGCGGCGGAGGGGACTGGCGAGGCGCGCCAGCTGTGTGCTGAGTTGGGGATTGACATGAGGCAGATGAAGCGTTGGGTGGAAAGTCACCGACCCAAGGACGTTGCGCCGCCGCCTCCTCAGGCGGTGCCGTTCATGGGGTGGGGGGTGCCACCAGGGGTGGGGATGATGAATCCAGCCTACATGTCCTATATGGCAGGAAGCCCGATGGCTTTTCCGGGGGCGTGGCCTGGCATGCCCCGCCCCCCCCTGGGGGATGGGTCGTGGGGAGGGGGGCCACCCATGGGCCCCATGGGCCAGCCGTTCAACCCCACAATGCAGGCGCCGTTTACTCAGCCGTTGCTTGGGCCCAGTTTCCCGGGACCGCCGTTCTTGCCGGGGGGTTTTGCCAGCACAGGGTTTGGTGGGGGAGCGCCAGGGGGGCCTCTGAGCGCCCCAGCGGCCACCCCCCTGAATGTGGATGAGAATCAAGAGTTGGTGGCATCAGCTGAGGCGCTGGGGAAGCTGTTGGGCGACCGGGTGAACACCATCCCCCCTGAAAAGTTGAAGGAGATCCTGGCGGCCTGGATGGCGCACAAGCGCAACAAGCGCGAGCAGGAAACAGTCCCGGCAGCCCGGGAGGCGCCACTTTCCGGCGCGGGGGGGACCAAGCGCAAGGAGCCCGAGCCCCTAGCGCACCCCCCTGCCGATGAGCCGTCGGAGGGTAGCCTGTTGCAGTTTTCGATCCCGTCACTTGAGCGGGGGCTCTCCAACGCGCCCTCGATCTCGACCCTGCTAGCTGAGGAACTAGCGTCGGCAGCTGCGGAGGACGGGGGGCTTGGCAAAGATGGCGATGGAGCCCCGGGGGGGGCGTTTAAGGGGCAGGGGGCGAGCCGGGATCCCTCGCTGAGCGTGCTCTTGCAGGAGATTGGGGGGGCGATGGAAGAAGCACCGAAGCGGACGATGGGACCGCTCGAGAGGCAGGTGTTTGGCGTGGACGAGGACAATATGCAGATGGGGCCAGCGCCGGAGTCAGGTGAAGTTCCTGTGAAGTTGTGGGCTTAAGCTGTTGCGTGTGATTGGTTAATTTGGTGATGTGGCATAGTCTGCTCTGATTGCTGCAGCTTCATCTCTCCAGCAGGCCGCGCTTTTGCCTCCTGCAAAGTAGCTGCAACTTAGAAGGGTTGTTGATTGCCAATTAGATCGAAGGTCTGGCAAAACATTGCACAGCCAGCACTTTGTTAAGGCAAACCTTGTAGACAGGAGGTCTTGGAGGTCTTCGGTATCCATTCTCTTCATTCCTCTTCCTCTTCAATCAGGCATGGAACCGCCAGGATGTGTGCCCGTGCTTCAAGGTTTTGAAGTGTCGTACTTTTTTCATTGGTGTTCCTTGGGAACACCAAAGTCTGCTGTATGATCCTTGACTGCTGAGAATTGACATCCAAACCTTGACCTTTGTGCAGGCGATGACGAATCCGCATCCTCTTCCGACGAACCCTCCGAGCGGCGGCCCGGGTTGCGCCCCCGGTCAAAGCGGCGCCGGTTTGCCGAGTCTTCCGCTGAGGAGGAAGAAGAGGAGCCGGAGGAGCCGCAGTCGGAGGAAAACGAAGAACCGGGGGTGGATGAAGAAGTGTTTCCCCATGATCCGGAGGGACGCGCAGAGGGGGGCCAGTGGCAGCTTGGTACAGGGCTTGAGGATCGGAGGCTGCCCCCCCCGCTAGGTTATCAGGGCCACGTGGGACAGGTGGGTCTCGAGACTGGTTGAAGTAGATGGTGGTAGGGCATCAAACGATCCACGCCGTTCTGGATGGTATGATGAGGAGCTTGTGTGATCAGAATGGCTCTGTGCTACCTGGCAAGAACGACGCTCTTGTCATTGAGACAAGGCTTGGGGAGATAGAGAGGAGTTGTGCGGGTCTCATTCTTTGACCTTTTGTGGACTTGCAGACGGGGATACGGGCTGTCCTTTTTGAGAAGGCGCTGACGGCCAGTGACACGAGCCACCTCGGTCGGTGGGTGCTCCCCAAGGTAAGGACGTAGACTCGATTCTACATTGTCTCTTTGCATTCTACACAGTCAAATTTTACACAGTCGATCTTTCTTCGAGTCGTGCGGGCACAGGAACTTGTCTTTGATGGAGTCAATGGCTTCGAAGCCAGCGCCTGCATCTGTTGACGTGTTTACCGACCAAAAAGTCGAGGGAGGTGCATATATACTAGATTCGATTCTACCTTTGATTGCTTCTGAGATCTCTTTGCAGCTTGTCCCCCCTAGCACAGAGTGTCCGCCTTTTCTGCAAACCGTGGACGAACCAACGAGCATCAGCAAAGAATCTCATTGGGTACTTGTCCCTGCAGCTGGCTGCTGAGCGCTACATGCCGTACATGGAACACAGGGACGGGACGTTCATGCTGGTGGAGGATAGCAAGGGCGGCCGCTGGTGCTGCAAGTACAGGTGAGCCGTGCCGAGGTCCCAGTACTCTGTAGGGCTGGGCTGTTTGATATTGGCAGAAGGGTTTGCTTGACTGTGTGTTTCCTTCGTTTGGTCATCCCTGAAGCGTCTAGTGGGTCTGCTACGGAGAGATCAAACGCTCATCATTGATCAACGGATTTCTTGCAGGTGGTGGCCAAACAACAAGAGCAAGATGTATGTCCTCGAGCAAACGGGTGAGGTGCACTTCCGTTTCGGTTTTTCTGAGTTCCAGGACTCTGTGACTCATTTCGAGGAAACCAAGCTGCTCAGGTGCTTGGGTTTTGGAAGCGAGACGGTGAGGATTTTGTAGAAGATGTGCTCCGTGCGTATAGCGTATTCCTGTTCTCAGATGACTTTTGTGCCAAGTTGATGCCATAGGCTGCGATAGATTGACTGCCGTTATCTGCAGGCGAATCCGGGTGGTCGCATATGCAGAACCTTGCTCAGCTTTTGAAAGCTGTCCTGATTCGCGTCCTCATTTTGTGCAGGCGACATTGTGAAGCATTTCAAGTTGCACCCGGGCGACACCATCCACTTCTGCCAGTCTGTAGAAGGCCACCTGGTGAGCGATTGTGTCGACAGTGGCTCAGCGATTGTGTCAATACTGGCTCAGTCTGCGCATCTGTGGCGAACGCCTCCGCAAAATTGACCTTTTATCCTTGTACTTGTGTGGCTGCTCATCGGGCAATGGGCCCCCTTGTCATAGTCTCCGCAGTTTCGCCTGCCTCCTCGTTAAGTCTCCGCTTCCTGCCGCAGATGATATACGAGCAGAAGAAGAACAGCAAGCAAAGGCCCCCCGTCGCCAGCGCGGCGTCCCCTGCGCCCCTCCCCAAGCGCTACGCCAAGCGTGTGCCCATCGAGCCAAAACCCTCCCCCAAGGGTTCCCGTAAGCAGCTGAAGGCCCCCAAAGCGCCCCGTTCCCCGCCGCCCCCAAAAGCGGCGTACAAGCTCCCGAGCCCCTTCGCTCGGGTCTCAACGCGAGGCCGCACGATTCGCCCCTCGAGCCGCCTCCGCCGAGGGGGGGACGGGAACCCCGAGAACGGCTCCCCCGCTTTGGTTTATAACGCATCTGCCGGACAGGGCCTTGCGGGGCGGCTTGTTTCGCACGAGTGGCGCGGGTCGGCGATGCTCTCACCAGGGGGGTCCGGGAATGCGGCTTCGGACACCCCCGAAGTGGGCGTCGACCCGTGGGGCGCCGACGAGCTGCTCGGCCGGGGGGAGGGCACCGCCCAGATCAACGAGCTGGCCCGCCACTTTTTGCAGCAGACGAACCCCGGGGGAGCCGGTCGGGGGGGTCTCTCCGCAGGCGTTCCACGCCCCCTGGCGCGGACTGGCTCGGCAGATTTGGCGAACGAGATTTTGGCGCTGACAAACAGCGGCCGGGAGGTCGGGCCGCGCGAGTTGAGCCCCCTTGGGGCGCCCTCGCGGCAGGGGAGCTTGACACCAGTCCTGCAGCGGACTAAGAGCAGCGAGAGCCTGCCGTTCTCTGTGTCAAACTTCCCGCCCATCCCGACGGGCCTCGAAAGCCTCAGCCGCAGCAGCAGTTTGAATCGAACGGCGAGCCTGGCGCGCGCGGGCAGCCTGCTGAGCCGGCTGCCGTCGGATCTGGAGGCACTGAGCAAGATGGACAACTTCCCGTCGTTCGACTTTGCGGCCACGCCGCCCTTGCCCGTGCGTACACTTCTTTTGTGTTCTGAAGCTCTTGTTCTATCTTACTCAATTTCCTTCCAAGTGCATCGTTCAGTTTGTGCGACTCCTCGGCGGCTCTTTTTGTTCAGCTTTGGTTTGAGCTGTCGGGGGAAGGGATAGAAGCGAGAGCTTGTTTCTAGGTACTGGCAGTCGAGCGGGACCAGGCATCCAGCGGCTCTTTAGAGTTTCTCGTGTTGGCTTCAGTTTGCTTTAGCAGCCTCGAGCGACTCAGTTTTTGCCCTCGCGTCGTATTCCTTGCAAGTCGGCCAATTGGACCAACAAGAGAAGCGCCGCTGTTCCAGTCTTGAGAGGATCGTGGTCTTCGTTGCAGGTCGAGTCAGCATTTCAACCATACGGGGGCACTCCCGGCCGCCAGGCGAATGCGGCCGTGGCAACCGCAGGCGATGCGGCCCAAAATCGGCGGAGAGCCGGATGAACGCGTCAAGAAAGACAGCGGAACTTGTGCATACAGGTGGGCCGGGACGCCCTTACAGTTTTAGAGCACGCTTAAGGACAGGACGGATCAGCAGTCGGATGCTTAGAATGCAGGCGAAGTGGCCCCCCTCAGTCGATAGACGGGCTTGCATCCCTGCTCAGCGGTAAGGGACCTGAGCGCGGGTTCCCGTCACTTCCAGATGCGGAGAGTGGGCGCTGAAGGTGCTATTGCATGTGGGGAAACCACTTGATCATGTTTATTTTTAGTTGCTAGGAGATCAGCGAGCCTCGAGCGCGCGCAAGCTACGGAGGCCTTTTGAGCGGGTCGTGTTCAAACCTACGGGAGCGGAAGAACATGTACCCTGGCTGAGCCCAGTTTTGACCACATCTTTGTGTCCTCATTCCTCCTTCTTTGGGGGTACCATGTTGCAAAGTATACTTCCCAGTCATGTCATGTCGAGGGTGCAATTGCTGAACTGATTCGCAGCCTAAACATTGACGTGCCCCATCTGGATGAAACATGTCAAAGATTTGCAGGAGTGTTACAAACCGTATAGAAGACAATACCAGCGTAGCAGTTGCTTTAGCTATCTAACATGCTGCAGACATCCTTAGTGCCCTCGTCAATGACAGACTTTGAGTTCTGACATATGATGGCGTTTGCATGGTGTGCCGCGTACATGCTTCTGCTCGTATGGTAAAGCCCCTTCAACAACATTGGAAAGCATGTACTAAGGTCACCGTAGGTGCCCTTGCTTGCAACCCTATCTAATGATGGTTTCTTTTCGTAATGCCGTAGCCAGTGCGCCCACAGGCTTCTCATGATCAAGCTCCATTGATTGTTTCTCAATTCGTAAGCGACTTGTGATTTCAGGAACCTATCGCAGCAGAGTCATGCGCCACATGATCGATTTATCTTATCCCCAGCAAAGGTGGCCCACATCTCGCCCACATGCGACCGGGCTATATCGAAATGGCACACAAAGTGCGGTCATGTTACCTACCAACTACCATTGCTTAAACTGATTGGCTCCTTTTTTCCTGCGGTTGTAATTCTGAGCATTCAACATATCTTTCAGGGTTATCTGAAATGCTTCATAATTGCACCCGTTTTTAGATCAAGCTATAACAATTGCGAGGAGAAGCTAGCAAAAGCCACAGCTGCTCACGGCTCGTTCTGGCCAAAGGCCGGGGTCCGAGTTCGTTGCTTGTGTTGCTAGCTTGCCTTCAACGTGATGAATGAATCATGCAGACCACTGCCAGATGACCTCTTTTCGTTGTCTAAGGCCGCACGGTAGCATTGAATCGCGGCCTGAGAGGGAAATAGGACGAGGGCCGAGGAGAAAGTTCTAGTACAGCCTACAAACGATTCTGGCGGATTGCACCTCGATTTTGTGTCTCGTAGCAGGCTTTCTATTGGCCAAACATGACCACGTGCCTGAAGGGGGCAAATCTTCCTGTGGTCAAGTTACAAGTCTGGACTCTGTACTGATTGAAACAGGGTTTAACAAAGGGCAGCGTGCTCCAAAGGAATTTCAAAAACGACGCTGCCCTTGGACACAGCATACTTCGTGCCACAGGCTCATCGACCGTGGAAGCAATATTCACTAGGCGATAAACCCCAGATTAAAGCAGAAGAGAGTAAAGCTAACCGTTTGCAAACGAGCAGCAAGTGGAATCTGGACTCTGAAGAAGGGGGCCCCAGCTACGTGCTTCAGTCCCGCCAAACAGCGAGCGCAATGAGGCGAGCGTAAGCTTCCGCAAATGCCGGACGCTCGCTTTTGACGTCACAAACGAGCGTTAAACGTCACAAACGAGCGTCCGCTTTTTGCGGAATTTTAGCCTGGTCGCCGAGCAATTGCAGTTTGCGGCAAGGTTAAACCTCGTAACCAATGCTGACGTAAGCATATGGGTCGGGACTCGGAAGACAGGCTCGCGGGCGTATCGAGCGGAGCCGCCCGGATTTAACATAGATATGCCGAGACTCATGGCATGGCGAGAGGGCGATGAACGTCCGATATATGATCCGAAGAGTTTTGAGCAATGCGGCAGACTTGACAAGACTTGACGATGATCAGGCGATGCTGCGCTGGACACGATTAATATACTACCATCCGAGGCTATATACGTCGAAGATATCGTGGCAGGCTTACACCATGGATGCATGGATCACATGGATGATCCGTTTTATGAATGATCCATTTCAACCTTTGCCCACAAAACCTGAATCCAATATTATCAAATCTAAAATTAAACCGTCAATTTAGTAGTTCAGTAACTTTGAGTGACAATTTCACTAAGTCACTACCGTGTGACCGCCGGGGTCCCACCGGGGTGTGACCGTGACATATTGAACATATGCCAAATATGTTTAAGAACCTGATGCAGCACTGCAGCAATTGAATTGCATGTGAGCAGGGATGCATGATTTCCAATCATACAACTTTTATGTGCTTGCATATACGTGCCGATGTGCGTTTCGGATGCTGGCATGGGCCCATGGTACCATGGTACAGCTAGTAAGCTATGGTGGATGATTGAAAGTCAAAAATTACTTTGATAGACCTTTAATATGCTTGCCAACCAGCAATTCGATTGCACCTCGAAACCCCTCTCGAGTGCCAATACGGTCAAATGGACACTCGAGCCGAGCTTTGTAACGATTACGACTGGTTAAGCCTAACCTCGTTCTCGACAGGATT